TTGATCGTAAAGAATGTCGATTCTTTTCGCATTTTATGAACCGAATGACTCGGTATAGGCGCACAAATATTGTTTATATACTGGATGATAACTAATACATTGCGCAAATTGACTGATACTAACGTAATCAAGTTCACAATAGTCTATTTGTGACCACAAATCAGATAAATTAACATCGACATCATAATAACTATTCAATTGCTCAAGTATTTTTTGACCGCATAACCGTGACACTTTTCCTTGATTTTCGCGACTATTTTGATTTATAATATAGCCTATTTTATAATATGGTATTGCATGTTGACTTAGTATAATAATAGCAATAAGAAACTGCTCAAATGATAACTTTCCCGAACCATGACAATCCAGCGTTGAAAAGACATGGTCAGTCAATCGATTCGAGCCTGAAGCATATTGATATAAACGTTGAAATTCTTGTTTATTTATTTTCTCGTCCCTATCCATGTTTTGTCTATATATATCATATAATTGATAAACTGCGTGTTGTGACAAACTGGTTAAGTCTTCATAGTGATCTAGATCCCACTGATCAAACGACAGATCATTACCCATGGTTTGACTAATTGTTTATTCAAACTGGAAAAAACGACAAATTTTGAAGCAAAACGATGACAGTTTTCTTTTCGTTGAAACACTGTTGTGCTTGGCAAGCTACTACTGGGTGTTTCCATTAAGAACCTACCATCATTTACATCGACTTGCGGCGCCGGCTGTGAGATACAGATCACTAGGTGCAGTTGAGGACGCTGAGTCCGACGGTGAAAACCGCAGGTTGCTAGCGTTGTCGAAAAACTAGTTATAGGAAAAATATTTTTTCAGCGTAAAAGAGATTTTCCCAGCCAAAAAGGCCTCTATTGCAGATCCTTTTCGACCCCTTATTCATGAGCTAGAACCTTCATTTTTGTCTCAAATGAAACATCTCGTCAAGATCCTTCAGAATCTATCAAGAAATTTCATGGCCCGACAGAATATGGGATGAAAAATGGAAACCAACACATGCCCGGTTTTCTGGAAAACCAAACTCTGAAAAACAACCAAAGCTTTTCCTAATGAGCCATGCTTATAGCCCGTACATTTCTGATTAAACTGCGACCTCTCCCAACTCTACCTGACCTTCTTTGCAAAGTTATAGAATTTACAAGAAAAGCCCTAAAGTAATATCTTGTAACTTTCACCTGACAATGAATATTTAGGGCTTTTCTTGTAAATTCTAGAACTTTGCAAAGAAGGTCAGGTAGAGTTGGGAGAGGTCTCAGTTTAATCAGAAATGCACGGGCTATAAGCATGGCTCATTAAGAAAAGCTTTGGTTGTTTTTCACAGTTTGGTTTTCCAGAAAACCGGGCATGTGTTGGTTTCCATTTTTCATCCCAGCAATACAGGCCTTTTTGGCTGGGAAAACCCGTTTTACGCTGAAAAAATACTTTTCCTATAACTATTTTTTCGACAATGCTAGAGACCTGCGGTTTTCACTATTGGACTCAGCGTCCAAAATTGCATCTAGTGATCTGTATCTCACAGCCGGCGCCGCACGTCGATGTAATGATGGTAGGTTCTTAATGGACACACCCTACTGTGCTAGACTTTTCTCAACAAAAAATATCGATTTATATGTAACTCAACATATCCTATGTGAAGAGCACAATGAGATTCGCTCGACTGAAACTTTTGTATAAATGAGCGGATCTGCTTGGAAACACCCATTAGCAAGATCCAATGCACAAAATTCTGCACTTTTCTTTTGTCACCCACTAATAGCAAATAATCTTCCTTGTTTAAACTTGTCATAAACTTGTTTCACGTCCTCTGCAGTAATGAATACTTTGCTACTTCTTCAACGTACGTATTGTCTATGTGTTCTATGTGAGAGGGTATATTTATAATCAATCCCATCCGGTAAAAATTTCATTTTTTCCTACGTACGTGTATGTATCATTCTAATATTTGATGTTTTAAACCAAAGATACTTTGGACTAATACCCAACAGACGACACTGTTTCAAGAATAGAATATCCAGTTTAATTTTGTTTAAAACTTTTACGAGATGAGATTCATTATAATTTTTTATTCTTTTTTCTTCCACCTGTCTTGACTGTACATTTCAAAATTCTTAGTGATTTCTCTCATAGTGTATTTGTGGTCACAAATAGACTATTGTGAACTTGGTTACGTTAGTATCAGTCAATTTGCGCAATGTATTAGTTATCATCCAGTATATAAACAATATTTGTGCGCCTATACCGAGTCATTCGGTTCATAAAATGCGAAAAGAATCGACATTCTTTACGATCAAGACATAAATAAAGAAACCTTAACATGTTCAATAAAAACAAATTTTCAGACAAGTTACTCTCTCCGAATGTAGCACGATTGTGTAAAATAAATGATTGTTACACAAAATTGAAAACTATGACAAAAATAGAAAACATGTGGACAAATACTAGTATCGGCGTCAAAAAGCAGTGCCCTCGGATGTTTGCAATTACGTATCAGCATAGTAGTACAAAGTCCATTAGGTGTCATTTCCCAGCAGGCTTTTATAATTGGGAAAAATACGTACAAAGTTGTATTAGTAATACATTTTACCATCGTCATATATTATCCTACCTAATCGGTATTCTGTGTCAAATTTTTTGATACTTCGATAATTTTTGATGCGGAACAAGAATCCGATATTTGATGGTATGCGTACATACGGAAAGCTCGAAAATAAACGAAATAACGTGTGAATTTAGTTTAAGTTGAAAATGTCTTTTGTAGCAGTTTTATACTCAATCTGTATTTATAATGGATGATGATCGGTGATGACTGTAAAATGTCGTGCGTATAAATATGGGCGTAATTTTGTAATACACCAAACGACGGCCTGACATTCTTTTTCGATGGTTGAAATATTTCTTTTCTCTTGGTGACAATGATCTTGATAGATATTGTATTAGTTTGACTTTACCATCTTCCATAACTTGAGGTAAAACACTACCAAGACCCACATTTAATGCATCTGTATTTAATTTGAGAGTTAATTTTGATTTTCTATCATCAAATGTTAATAATGGGTGTTGTGATAATTTGTGTTTTAGTGTGTCAAAAGATTCTTGGCATTCTGTTGCCCAATCTCAATCACCTTTCTATAGGACTTCTTTTTTACTTTTTTGCTGTTTTCTTGTTTTTGCTGTTTAAGATGAACGAGGACGTTTCATCTAGTATCGGGGGAGATGTTAAGTAGTCCTTGTTCTCTTCGTTTCGTTCTTCTTTTTACATCATATGTTATGTTATAAGGTCATATATTAACAGTGACCTTTCTCTTTCTCTCGGTTCTCCTGACGTCATTAGTCTGGCCAGTAGTAAATGACATATTCTTTCCTATGCTACTTGTACGTCATGACCTAATGATGTCATGTTCTGACCAGTTCTTCTGACGTCATTAGATCCTTTTCTAATCCTTTCTCGGACTTTCGGTGATATGTATATATAGCTGTGTTTTTGCGAATGTAAGAGGTAGTAATTTGTTACGGAATAAAGTAAACAAGTTAGGGAATTAATCAAGATAACTTCACTGCATAACAATTTAATGCATCTGTATTTAATTTGAGAGTTAATTTTGATTTTCTATCATCAAATGTTAATAATGGGTGTTGTGATAATTTGTGTTTTAGTGTGTCAAAAGATTCTTGACATTCTTTTGCCCATGTAAATGCGACATTTTTGTTTTTAAATACGTTGAGTGCAGCTGGAATAGTTGAAAACTTGGGTATAAAACATCGATAGAATTGTGCCATTTGAACAAAGGAGTAAGCAACTTTAGTCGATGTAGGTGCTGGAAAATATAGTATTTTGTTAACGTTGGACGTCGTTCGTTTAATTCCACTTTGTGTAATTCTATAATCGAGGTAATCTAATTCTGTCCTGGCTAATGTACATTTAGCAGCATTTAATTTCACATTTGCTTTTTCTAGTGCGGTTAATACCATATCAAGATGTTGTACATGTTTTTCAAATGTTGGTGAATAAATAATAATATCGTCCAAATAAACCAGCGTAATGTCCCATCGTAATATGCCTAGCACTGAATTGATGATACCTTGAAATGTTGCTGGGGCGTTTGACAAACCAAATGGTAGTACATTGAACTCATACAGGCCATCCGTGGTTACAAATGTTGTTTTCTTCTTATCTTTTTCAGCAATGGGAATCTGCCAATAGCCTGCTTCTAAATCCAATGTGGTGAAATAATATGCACCGACCAGCTCGTCAATGATTAAAAATTAACAGATCGATCGTTCACAGCGTTAGAAAGACCTTTTCCCTCCAAAACGAGATCGATAAACATATTTCAAGAAGGACACGAACCCAATCGATTCTTGACAATGACAATCGGCTATCGTATTTCAAAACACTTGGAAGAATAAGTAAGTTATCCTGCTTATTCAGAGTCTCAAGCCTAATTAAAAGCCTAAAATTGGGCATAGAAAACTCAGCGATAAGCTTTAGAACCTAATTACTGAGTTCAAATTTTCATAGAACACGTTTTTGCAAAATGAGTATTTAAGATATCAGGTTTCGACAAGTCATCCAGATAAGCGATTCCATTTTTCATTTTTTAGTGTTGAAATATACGTTGAGTGCGTAAGTTTAACAAAAGATTTAACCAGATTTAACCAATAACTCGATCATTGTCGTGGTACTTTGATCTCCAATTGGTACTCTGACTTGTCATCAGACTCTAAAACCATGTACTAGTTGCAGAATTTAATTCTCTATCGAATGACGCCATTTTCGATACAGTTTGTCGGTCAAAAAACCAAAAGGTCAGTTTTCAGACTATGTGTGTTTCATTTTTCAACTCAATCATCGTTTGACAGAAAAAGCGAAATTTCATCAAAGTGGCTTTAAAGTGGCCGAATTTTGAGACTCAGTTTTCTCAGCTGATCTGAACTTGGATCAAAATTTTTTCACTACTGAATTCACCATTGGCTAGTGTTTTTCAGAAACTATTTGAATCTGAAAAATATCACTTTCGTTTTTTCGCTAAATGTCCGCTTGATTGCCCATTGTACAGTGTTTGTAAAGAAACTCGCAATAGAGGACTTTAGCTTAAAATGATTGGGCTATGCGGGTCTTAAGTCTTGTTATAACGTCGAGCTTTCTTAGCAGAAGCAAATGTTATCAAATTTTTCTAAGAAACTTATATTTGCCTACAAACATGAAATACAGTTTTTGAATACTTACAAATTGAGTTTCCGAGGTCAAAACCAAACATTTTTTCAGAGACGGATACAATATTCATCATACTAAACGGGGGGTGAGCTGAGTTAAATAACTTATTGCTGTATCTATAGCAGTGTGAAACATTGAATACTTTAATCACATGAGTTTTATGTCACACGGACCAGCCGAAAAATCAGAATAAGAACAAATACAAAGCGCTGCAGTAGCGTTTATGTGA